GCATAAAATACTAGTAGTAACGCACTCAAATGTAAATGTTGACTGTCAGCTTCCACTTGTAAATAGGCACAAGTATTTACAAACACACTTACGAGTACATATCTGTATACCAAACTAAGACTAGTAGTAGGCATGGCATGAAAAAATGCTTGTTGAGGTGTTTATTGCTGCGTGTTTGTTAGCTGGTGGCTGGTGGCTGTTGGCTGGTGACTGAAAGCAGTGCTAAATCAAAGTAAAGTCACAAGCAAGCCTTAAGATAAATACATTGCCGATGGGTGGATGTGTGTTTGTGTGTGTGTGTGTGTGTGTGTGGGTGCATAAGGAATGTTTGCCTCACAAATACAAGTAGCTAGCTATTTACTATATTTATATGTGTATGGCGAGCGTGTTCTCTCTGTGTGTTAGTGTGTGTGCGTGTTCTTTTGCTTTGTAGCAGCTCCACTTGTCTCTGTCTGCGCCAGCTTGAAAGGCAGGTGGCTTGCCAGACTAAAGAGGAAATGGCCAATTAAAATTTTAAATTAAAAGGAAACTTCAACTACACGTTAAGGCGGTAAATGCCATTTGTGGCCATAAATTCTCGCCAGCCACATATATATCTATACATATGTATAAATATATGCAGTTTTTGTTATGCCACGTTTTTGCTATTTTGCTTGTTATTGCTGCAGTAGGGCTTATGTGTTTTTGTTGTTATTACTATTATTATTTCTATACGAGTTTGGCAGTTTGTAGTTCACTTTTTTTGTTGACGCCGTAAATGTTTTGCCACTTTTTGTGCCTTAACTGCAAACGTATACACACATACATATTTATATATTGAATTTAAGTATATTCCAAGCGCATATGAGTGGTGTTTGTATGTCAACGTCTATATCAAACTGATTTCGGTTGCATGCCAAAGCGGAAATAACCAACGTGTGAAAGCCGTAAACCGCAAAGATACGAAGGAAGCCGGATATATGGTTATTTTGGCAAGCATACAAATCAAATACACATACAAGAAAAAAATTTTTATATACACAAAATGTTCACTAATTCCTTTGAGACAAGCAATTATAGTAATATAAAAGTGTGTGTGTGTGCTTCAAGCATTTTTTCTACTTTTTTTTTGTTGGGAAGAAATCTTCTACCGCTCAACCTAGAAACTGTTTTATTTGTATTTTTTCTGTTATGCCAAGGCATTAGCGGTGGGTGTTAATGTCATGTATGTTTTTGCTTTTTTCTTTTTCGCTTTTCCAATTTCTATCTTGCTCTCTCCTTTGTACTAATAGTAATTTACACAACCAAATTGCACTCTGACTGCAGCGAAAGTGTCTACGAAAGGATTTTCTGATTACCCAAAGAACATTTAATTTATTACTCGGTTGGTAGTAAATTTTTTAAGGATTATAATCTTCTGTTTCTGATGGTATTTAAGAAGGTTTAGTGGGTCGTCTTGCGGTGTGTGCAAGATTGTTTGATAAATATGAAAGTCAATTTATGTGCAACATTAAAGTACGGATTTTCTTAGAACTAAACTTTCGTGTAAATTGGATATGAGATATGATGGTGAATTTTGCTCGTTCCACCTTAATTGTCGCTAGTGTAAGTAAAAGTCGACGACCCGCATGTATCTGGCGCGAGTTCCCCGTATTTTACTCTTGGAAACAAAGCTACATCTATGTAAAATTCAGCTCACCTAAGAGTTGAAGCCAGCAAAGGACTTTTAAATGACGCTATCTGAATGGACCATATTTATGCTAATAAACCTTTAAGTCTTGAGCATTTGAGAACCAAGATCCAACATCAGAGCTTTATGATTTAATTTATTTTAAGATATTTTACTTTCTTTATTTAAATTTTCTTAACTTTTTCTTGGTTTCTTTTATTTTATTTTATTTTATTCTATTCTATTTTATTTTATTTTATTCTATTCTATTTTATTTTATTTTATTTTATTTTATTTTATTTTATTTTATTTTATTTTATTTTATTTTATTTTATTTTATTTTATTTTATTTTATTTTATTTTATTTTATTTTATTTTATTTTATTTTATTTTATTTTATTTTATTTTATTTTATTTTATTTTATTTTATTTTATTTTATTTTATTTTATTTTATTTTATTTTATTTTATTTTATTTTATTTTATTTTATTTTATTTTATTTTATTTTATTTTATTTTATTTTATTTTATTTTATTTTATTTTATTTTATTTTATTTTATTTTATTTTATTTTATTTTATTTTATTTTATTTTATTTTATTTTATTTTATTTTATTTTATTTTATTTTATTTTATTTTATTTTATTTTATTTTATTTTATTTTATTTTATTTTATTTTATTTTATTTTATTTTATTTTATTTTATTTTATTTTATTTTATTTTATTTTATTTTATTTTATTTTATTTTATTTTATTTTATTTTATTTTATNACACCACCATACATTATTTTTTTTTTGTTTTATTTTATTTTATTTGGTTTTATTTTATTTTATTTTATTTTATTATAATTTTTGTTTTATTTTATTTTAATTTTTTTTTACTAGATTTTGTTTTAATTAATTTTTTCTGTTGTAATTTATATTATTTTAATAAATTTTATTTATATATAAGATTTAATTTACTTTTATTTAAATTGTTGGGAGGTTAGCTTTGCGTACTGCCATTCCCAATCCTGGTACGACAAAGATCCTCGGCCTCCGAGTGTATTTCTGACATGAAACTTTTTCCGTTCGGAGACCGTTTAATATAATCTGAAGGTCCCTCCATTTGTTGAATATATGTGTTATTGTGTATATATAATTTTATCTTTTTTTAGTTTATGTTTGTTTTATCTTATTTTATTCAATTTACTTTTTTGTTTAGTTTTACTAATTTTGAGCTTATTTTATTTTACATCAGTTCTTTTTGTCTGCTTATTGAGTTTCATATTTTTTATTTGATATTTTTCTATTTTTTTTTTAATTTTTTAGCTAAGTCTATTTGTTTTTTTGAAAGTCGCAATATTATTTAATATTGATATTTTCTCAATTTTTGCTCGTTTTGTTTGAATTTTTATTTATTTTAACATACTTAACTTTATTTCTTTACTAATTTTAATTATTTTTTTGTTTATTTAATTTCAATTGGATGATTGTAATTTTTCTTTGTTTTGCTTTTAATTTAATTTCTTATAGGTTTTGTTCAATTTAAATTATTTTAAAATGATTAATATTTTAATTTGATTTTTAAAAAATTATAATATTTTTAATAATTTTATATTGCTTTATTTTAGTTTAATTTTTTTTTTTAATTTTGTTACATATTTGTCTTTGGTTTTTCTTATATAATTTATTATATTCTATTCAATATTTAGTCTTATAGCGTTTGGTATTATTTTGTATATATTTTCCTTTCATTTATTTTCCGTTATCCATAAATAAGTGATTGCTGATTTGCTCTTTTGCTGAATATTTGTATAAAATTTTAAACACTCCCATAAATTTTTGTAGTGCATACATATGAGTAAAACGAGTTTTAGAAGGACTTCGTTTGGAAATTGCACAAAAATCAATCACAAGAAATGAACGTCCGAATAACAAAATTGGAGATTTCGATCCAATCGAGCAGAAGCAACCGAAGTGAAGTCATACTAATCGCTCAGCGTCATTTTAAGCTCACACAGACACAATTTCCATCAACGGTGGACAACAATATTCCCACAATTGATGGAAGTGAGCTGACAGTAAAATGAGAAAGCACAAAATGCAATGGATGTACTGTTGCTGACCACAGCGAATAGTAAGTGAAACAAAAGGAAAAAATAAAACATTTCAAAATAAAATAGCAACTCTTTGAGAATTGTAAGGCGTAACAAGGATAAAACTGCAACGGAAGTGGTAGCTGGATAGTTGGTGAGAAGCTCAAGTTGAGCAATCAATTCCGCAGGCGGCAAAAGTCAATTGACGATACAGCCGAGACAGAGAGAAATGTTGACAATCCAACGATTGCTGTTGAAAGATGCAATAATGGTTGCAAAAATTACAGTTGCCGACAGAAAATGACCGATAATAGAGTTGGCAAGAAAAGAGCTGCTCACAACTCGTATTCTTCGCACCATATTCAAGACCCATATGTATATGCGTACACGTGTTGCTGGTATGAGATTTATGTACAAGTTTAAAAATTCGTCACCCCCAAAATGCGTTCAACTGCAATGAACTGAAACTGAATATAGCTAAGCGAGCATTCAATCAACTGTGATACTAAATATTTGATATATACATAGATATTTCATTGATTTCTCATGGAAACTACTATTGAAGCAAAGCGGGCAAATGCGAAAACGAGTCAAGTCCAATGCGCAATTATTCACGCAGTAAGAAACCTTAAGTTATTGCATATTCTTCGATTTGTACCTAAAATTTAATAAATAAACTGCCAAAGGAGTGCTGGTATTGAAAACAGATATATTGAGTTAATTTAAATAAAGTAAAATAGAATAAACTAAAATAAAATTATCTAAAATAAAATAATTAAAACAAAAAAAAAAAAAAATATAATGAAATAAAAGAGAATAAAAGAATACAATAAAAAATAAAATAAAATGAAATTTAAATAAATAGTAAAAGAAAATAAAAAAATAAACTAACATAGAATAAACTGAAAGAAATATAATAATATGAAATAAAATAAAATAAAATAAAATAAAATAAAATAAAATAAAATAAAATAAAATAAAATAAAATAAAATAAAATAAAATAAATTAAAATAAAATGAAGTAACATAAAACAAAATGAGAGAAATAAAAAAAAAATCAAATAAAATAAAATAAAATAAACTAAAATAAAACAAACCCAAATAAAATAAGATAAAATACAACAAATAAATAAAGCTAAATAAAATAAAATTAAAAAAAATCATATGAAATGAATTAAATAAATTAAAATGAAATAAATTGAAAAATTAGATATTCATCAAATGTATTTGTAGGTCGTCAGATTTGTGTTGTCTGTAAAATATTTATCACTTACCACATCAATCAACTGCGATAATCGTAGACCCATTTTGACCGTTAAACGATCGGAATTATTGCCTACAGGCCGTATTAAGCGATTGTAATTACTTAAAAGATCGTCGTATAAACGTTTTGCATCTGGATTGGCCAGGCCGCCGGTGGCAAAATGTAACGCTATGAACACAGCTGTGAATAGCACGCTCCCCATCTTAGGCCAGGTCCACCCCTATGGAAAAAATAGAAAGAGAGAGAAAACGTCAGAATTTATATAAATATATATATATATATATATATATATATATGTTGTAACGAGAAGCTTTAGCACGAGAATTTTGTTACTAAGCATATTATACAATATACATACCAAAATAAGCTTGTTTGTAAGTTGCACGCGACGTTGGAAATATCAAATTTTATTTTCCAGCGTCAAATACTTTCATAGTATAATAACACTCATCGAGCAATTTCGTGGATTTTCAATATACCAAAGAGCGGAAAGTAAAGGTTGAGCCATTTTTCGTTTATACAATCAAGCCCATATGCACACACATACTTACATGCCTAACATACTCAAGCCACAATAAGTTTAATAAGCTGCAATGCAAGAGTTGTCAAAGGTGCGAAGTAGCATACTCCAGCGTAGAAATACACACATACATGTATAAATGTATGTTACATACTTTGCCATTAGTACATGCTCCTGTCAGCATAGTCGCTTCGGGAGGTTTAAATGTAAAATTTATCAAGCCGTAAATTTCGCCACACCCAATGTTCAAAGCCAAATAAATGCAAGCGCTTACAAAGAGAATATATGTACATATAGGTGAACACATGTACATACACGCACTCGTATGTATAAAAAATGTTGATGCAGTTATTTTTTGTGCATTACAAACTGTGAGTAGGCGAAAATTCACTGGCGGCACAAAAAAAAAAAAAATTAAATAAAAGATTTTCAAATCTTATTAGGTATGCCAACTTTAATGGAGACTAAAGTTCCAGCGAGAAATGGCTGACATAGATTCAGTAAATATACATACTTTTCACATAAAAGACCTTCCATTTGTTACTGAACTGTAGAGAAAAAATATGTGTTAATGTTCGGGTTAAGCCGAATTTAGTTTTTCTTTCTTAAATGTATCTTACTTCCGCTCCTAAATTGCTTAAAGCGCTCATGCGCTCGTAGTCTGAAAAACTTCATTAAATTTAATGTTTCGGTAAGAATTGAGATTAAAGTAATTTTTGATTGGCTGATGAGCGGCATAAGGGTAATTGGGAAAAGAAATTGAGCCAGACTTGCTCAACCAGACAATAGAGGGACTTCTCAGGGGAGCGTACTGTCATCAGAGCAATTTATAAGAAATGGAGGTAGTATGTAACGGATACACCTATTATTCGGGAGTATCACTGAGTAGTAAAACGCTGTAGAAACTGAATGTAGAGATGAGGGCGAAGGCTTACTCTCCGATCTAACAAAGTGTCGCTAAAAGTTAGTGGTCGAATCATTTTTGTTTTACGCTGCTTTGGTGTGGTGTATCGCGTTCTCATACCAAATGCTATTAAAATAATTTTAATGGCTCGAAATACTATGCCGAGCTGGGATGCTAAAAACTACTGTAAGGGGCTGCGCTTTCAAGCCTACTCAACTTAATGCTCTTAAAGCAGCAACATTTACTGCGAGACAAGAGGCCTCAGAGTAATTTCCAGAACATTCAGTTAAGCGCGATAAGTAAGGGCACATACCTCTTCGCTTTAACTGTCAAATAAGGTTGGAGACTTTGTTAAAAGAGAATGGATAGAATACGATTAATAAATGGAATTGACAGCTGATATACGAATGAATGAAAAATGTCTGTCTTAAATAGCAGACAACGCTTAAAGCTGCTGCAATATTACAGGCAGAGGACTTCGCGATACGGAAAGCTATTGAGCTTGCCAGCAACCATATACATACATTAATTGGCGGTAGTTAAACCAAAATTCTTAAAATGCAGATGGAACAACTACATATAATATTTATCAGGTTGTGCCAAACAACGTTTTCTCGTATTACCTCAAACGGCAGGGCGTTGGTAGCCCAATTGACATTTACGAAGATTGACTTGGATTTTTCGGCTTTATATAGAACACCTTTCAGTTTTCTAAGTGCCAAGCAGTTCAGGGTACTGTATAAAATCTCAAAGCCCTATATTTCGAACGTCAAAAAAAGCCAAATTGTCATACATGACGATCACTGACTTACACCTGGCAGCACAAGGGATCAAAAGTCTACCTAACCTAGCCTATAAATAAACAAGAGATTCATGGTTGCATTTGCGGCCTGTGGTATTAATTTTTATTCCAAGTTTTTAATGACCTGACGACCTTTTTGTTTGTGTGAGTTTAATATTTTTGTTATACAAAAAAAAAAAAAAAAAGAAATAGTAGAAACCATCCCTCATCAGACTTCTTCTTGCAGCAATCTGACTCCTCAGGCGAGTGTTTGTTTATGATGAAGTCAAGACAATGATTTCGGTTCTATATGGAAAACAAGGTGAAAACATGTATTTTAGTATCCTCGATAAGATTTTTGAGCCATTCGATGATTTTTTCGAAAAAAAAAGTAAAAATAAAAAATAAAAATCGTAACGAAGTAGGGCAGTAGTCGGAAGGAGCATGATCTAGAGAATACTACGGATGGGACCAACCTCTTTGCCCTCAACGCTAAAATCAGCACCTATTGAAACGTAAAAACCATTGTCTATGTGACTTATCGGTCAATGAAGGTGCATCATAAATTATTTTGAGAATAAACCAAATTAATTTTTACGCCAAAAAAATTGTTTGAAAAAATTTTAATTTGTGAGATCCATTTTTTCCATGAAATCCAGCAGTAATTCATGTTTTTAAGAAAAAATAAGGCAGCTGCCCTATTCGAAAACAAATTACAAACTAAATTTCATTTGGCAAATAAAAAGTACTGATAATAATTTTCCCTTATTCTCAAAGCGCCTTCCCCCCTGCACGCTTTGCATGTGTCAAATAAACCACACTATTTCTGTATTTGCATACACATATATGCATATTTTTAAAATGAAATATTAAAAGTTGATAGCAATTTTTGACATTAACCGCAACAGTTTGAAAACTATTTCAAAATTGTGCAACATTTTTCTCATAAGCATGCAAGAAAAAAAGGCAATTTCAAATGCTATGCTTGTATCTAACGTCAATAGTGGCGCCACAAAAGCTTTTAAGTTTACACACACACACACACACAAACACACGGGTTGTATATGCATTTTAACATAGAAGTCCGCAAAGAGCGTATAATAGAAAATTTAAATAAAAATTCTTTAAATTGCACAAATGCACTGCTGCACCACGAGGGCAACTCCAAGAATTGGGGCGAGAGTGAATAGTGGCGTGGCAAGAGTCAGAGCGAGGGAAAGTGGTACACAACTAAAACGGTACTACCGCACATGTACTTTGCGTGTGTACATATAATATGTGTACAATATAAAGCACTTAAGCAGCAACAGCAGCAGCAGCAGCAACAGTAACAACAATGGCAGTTAGAGAGCCGAACGCAAATTAACATAAAAAGTTTACGTTAAAAACTATGCTATGCTGACACGTAAAATCTTTGTATGAAACTTTGGCAAAAAAGTGACAGCAAAGCAGTACAGTGCCAACAACAACGGCCAGAGTAGCAGCTCAAACTCAAAAATGTTGCCTCTTATGCAAAGCATTATAACACACACACTCATATATATATATAATAAATATATAAACACTGGCATACCTCTTTCCCTTGTACATATGTGTGTAAGTAGAAATTTAGAGCAAGATTCATTAGAGCATGTACATACATATTATATGTATACATATGCATATATTTACTTTGGAGACTTTTCTCGAAATGAAAGCATTTAATGTGTAAAAAGTTCCTTTGGACTTTGCCACTGCCACTTCCAATTCCCTTGTCTCTTCATATTCAGCCAAACATCAACTTAGTTGTTTAGAACTTTATTTATGTACGTGCAAGTGTGTATATGTTTATGTGTGATTCGTGGCTTCTTGGTTGCGGTATTGCTATTGTAAAGTAAAAATGAAACTTGTCTTCAAAACTTTAAATGCTTTTGTGAAAGGCCATGAAAAATCAGTGGCAATACAAAAATTCGGCTAAAAGCAAAAATTGCATGCCTTCAACATTTATACAATTACATACAAATACATACGGACACATATGTATAATGCAAATTAGGGTGGTCCGGTGAATTTTGATTTTAATGTTGAATCTTTACTCAAAGACAGTTTAATTATCTCTCTGTATAATCAGAATTTGATAACATTTTTCGACGTGTTTAGAAATATAAAATGAGAGAAAATATATAATCCGTAGATTGCGCTGGAATTGACTAAAAACAAATTAAATTTGTTAGTTGATATTTGAAAATGAAGAGATAATGTAATACGAAAAATTTTCTAGAATTCGACCGAGTTTTTTTTAAAAAAAAAACAACAAACAAATGCACTAATAATGTTAAAATATACTTTTCATAAAAATAAAAGGTAATAATTACAGAAATAATGTACATGTACGCGAATAACTAATATGAGGCAAATAAAAAAATTACATAAACACTAAAAATAACATAAAAATTGAATTAGGGTAAAAAATATAAATATAAAAATAAAAACTCATGAAAGAAAAAGGTAAAAATAATATTAATGAAAAATAATTAACTTATGGCGCGTAATAAATAATAATATTTATAATAAAAATAAATAAATATTAATAATAATTGTAAATGCTATCAAAAAATTTAAAAAAGTTAATAATGTAATAATAATAATAAAAATAATAATAATAATAATAATAATAATAATAATAATAATAATAATAATAATATTAATAATAATAATAAAAATAACCAAAAGAAAATGGTTAAAATAACAGGAATACTGAAAGTTTTAAATTTAAAATATAAGTTAGAAATAAAAATAAAAAATAATTTAAATTAAAACTCTTAGAATTTAAAAATGTTTGAGAATTAAAATTTAATTAAAAAGTTTGAAAGAGAAAATTTAAAAACAATTATAATATTCAAAGAAAAAAGTTTAGAACAAATAGATGAATAACAAAATTATAGAATAGCGTAAAATATAAAGTAATAATAAACTGATAAAAGTAATAAATAAATGAAAATTACTGAATTAAAATTAATAAAAGCAAAACTAAAC